CAGGGAGATACTGCTCATAATCACAGAAATACATAGCAGTGAGTCGGATTTGCACCATAAAGAAGAGGAAGAGGTGCTATAAGTGGGGGTCTGGCGCAGTTCGGGGAATCCATTGTGGGGCACAGGGTTGAAAGTGGCAAAGGGGGAATTGTTCTAGGAGTGAAGGAGTAACTGACAAGCCAAGGCACTGACTGAGTGAGGGTCCCAAAACTGACATCAGTCCTTTAGCTGCCAGATTTTGGCAGAATCTGCTGGGGGATTCCTGAGCGAGAGGTCGGTGGTGAACATGTAGGGAGCTCAGGACAATAGTTATTTACCAACTGGTCCAGAAGTATTTCAATACTTTCATAACCAGCACAGCTACCCGGGGGTGGCCTGGGGAGATACATCAGCCCTCAGTGGAAACTTTCCTGCTGCCCAGACCAGGTCTGGGTTCCTATCATCTACCGCTGCTGACCTGACCCAGGACCTGGGAACCAGTGCCCACCTCAGCCCCTCTGTCTCATCCTCTGCAGATTGCCCTCTGTCACTTCTTCTTCAACATCTCGGGCATCCTTCTGTGGTACCCGGTGCCATGCACACGCCTGCCCATCCGCATGGCCAAGGCGCTGGGGAAGCGCACAGCCAAGTACCGCTGGTTTGCTGTCCTCTACCTCCTTGTCTGCTTCCTGCTGCTGCCTTCACTGGTGTTCGGCATCTCTATGGCAGGCTGGCAGGCCATGGTAGGGGTAGGCACACCCTTCGGGGCCCTGCTTGCCTTTGTGGTGCTCATCAATGTCCTGCAGAGTCGGAGTCCCCGGCATCTGCCCAAGTGGTTACAGACATGGGACTTCCTGCCTCGCTGGATGCATTCCCTGAAGCCCCTGGACCGCCTCATCACCCGTGCCACTCTATGCTGTGCCAGGCCTGAGCCCCGCTCACCCCCACTGCCTCCCAGGGTATTCCTGGAGGAGCTACCCCCCGCCACGCCCTCCCCACGCCTTGCACTGCCTGCTCACCACAATGCCACCCGATTCTAGGCTGTGGGCCCAGACTACAGCTGGGAATGGGGAAGGCCTGGGTGGAAAGGCAGGGGAGTGTGTGTGTATGTGTGTGCATGTGTCTGTGCTACTCTGGGTGCCAGTCTCTCCTTCTGCGGCTCTGAAAAGGTCTGGGCTTGTGTGTCAGTGTCGGTGTGTATGCATGTGTAGGGGTGAGTCTGCATGTGCACCTGTCGTGTGTAGAAGCTTTTCTGTACACGTGTGCCAGCCTATGCACACATACACAGACACATCTGTGGGAAGCTGTGTGCAAGTTGCAGGGTATCTGGGTATGACTTTGGGTCCTCCGCATATGTACACAAGACTAGGACAGGCAGGAGTGAGAGTGGGTCTGAGCATATGACTGTGCAGCTGTTTGTGCATAGATGTTGGTGCCTGCCTCACTGAATTTGCACACCTCCCTGCCACCTTCCTTCCTCCAAGATACCATTCACCTCATCCTCACCCGGGTCTTCAGCTCCACCGCAACTCCCTTCACAACACTTGCCTGATAGAAAAAACAAGAGGAATTAAACTCTTCTTAGGCATTCAGAAGTCTTTTTTGGTCTCCATCAATGGCAAAAGGGAAGACCAAGCCATCGGGTTCAGCAGCACCATCTCCCCTCAAAGACTTGCTGCAAGAGCAGCCTACTCTGCCCTGGTCAGGTGCAGTTCCAGAGAAGCCAGCCCTGCAGGCTCACCCCAACCGTCTGCCTTAGTGAGTCCAATCCACAATTCAAACTCCCTGGAAGCCCCTCCTAGGCCTGGGGACACCCCCAAAGCAAGTGTCAGGAGGAATCTGCACCCCCATCCCTGACCCCCACCTGGCTGAACTTCCTCTGGTCTCCCTCTGCCCTCTAAATTCACCCACCTCAGCCAGACGCTCACTCCTCCCTGCTAGGACAAGATCAAGGCTCCAGAATGAGCGTCAGGTGGGATCTGCCATCAGGGCTGCTGGGTGAGGAGAGGGGATGGGGATGGTAGTGGTGGGCAAAGGAGGTCATGCCCTGGGCCCCAGCACATGGAGGGCAGGGACCAGACACCTTCTCTCTCACTTTTGTCCACTATCTTTGGGCAATAAACCAGGCCTCAAACCCACCCAAGCTTTTCAATTCCCACTCCTCCGTAGGTCACCCTGAAACTGAGGCCTACAGTGTGAGTCCCCTTGGGTAGGGATGCCAGAGTTCCTCTCTCTAGTTCAGGAACTCCTCTTGGGCCTTAGGGAAGGCCTGAGGAAGGCAGGATGTAAGGTCCCAGGTTGTGACGGTCTTGGACATGTGCCCTCTCAGTGGGCCTCCTCGGAGGAATGTGGGTGAAGGTGCAGGTGCCCTGCGAGCCCCAAATCTGCTTTACAAGCTACCAGGTCCATCCTGTTACCCACTCACACTACTTGCTAGTGTTTGGGATGTGAGTGGAGGGCAAGAGAAGCACGCAGGCCTCCGGCCCCACTCTCTGATGGGGAGAGGTGTTCGCGGGATAGAGAGAGGGCTCCCTTTACTTGTCCTGCCTAATGTGTGGAAACATCTGTGAGAAAGGACGCTAAGGATGAAACAAACTTTGAGAAGGCCCCCACCCTTGGACTATTCCTCAGCTACGAAGTCCCTAGGACCCTGGGAAGGCGCCAAGGAGCAGCAGTCAGGCCCTGGCTTCCGCGAGGCGTCCATGGGAGAGCAGGGTGGAGGGCACAGGATCCTGGCAGCCTCTAGACTCAAAATCCCGGCTCCATCAGGTAACCTTCTTGCAAAGATCAGTTTCCTTATTTACAACTCCCCGCACCGCGCAAGTGGAGGAGGCGCCAGCCACACCCAGGTCACAGTTTATTTGGCCCGCGCTACCGGGCCGCCCGTGGGCGGCCTGGGCTGCCAGGCTAGGCGCCCTGCATGCGCAGCCCGCGGATGAGCTCGTGCGCCGTCTTGTTGAGGATGCCCCCGTGGACGCCACGTCGCCCCATGAGCACCAGGAGCGCGCGCGGCGCGTGGCCTACGCACACGGCGCGCGCGTCCAGCCCATTGGTGCGCGCGTCCAGCACGCCGTCGCCCTCGGCCAGCAGGTGGTCGCGGATGACGCAGCAGCGGCGGCCCCCCACGCTCAGGCCCGTCTGCAGGAAGGTGCACCGGTCGGGCCCGGTGAGCACGCCCACCTCCTGCGGCGAGATGGCGGCCAGCAGGCCCCCGGGCCGCGAAGCCCACACGCAGCGGTTGTCCGCGTGGCCCACGATGGCCACGTCGTCGATGCGCTGGTCCTGCAGCACTGCACTGATGTAGCCCTTCCAGTCACCCATCGTGCTCCGAGTGCGTCCCCCGACCTCGCGCTTCTCTGGGCTGTGTAGGGGCGCCGCTCCGGGAATGCCTGCAGTGCTATGACGCTCGCGGGGCGGGGCTGTGACGTCACACAAGGGGCCGTCCTGTAGCGACCACCCAGGCTAGGGCACGTGGGGCGTGGGCGTTTAGTGCCCAGGCAGTTCTAGGACTACCCTGTAGGACGGGTTTGGCAGAACGTGACGGTTCACTCTTGTAATCCCAGCGCTTTCGGAGGCTGAGGCGGCCGGATCTCTTGAACTCAATAACGCGATTATAGTAAACTATTATAGGTTCCTGCCGCTGTACTCCAGCCTGGGCCACAGAGCCAGGCCCTGTCTCCAAAAAAAGAAAATAATAATAATAATAAATTTTAATTGAGATGAAGTCTCACTATGTTGCCCAGGCGGGCCGCGAACTCTTGAGCTCAAACAATCCTCCTGCCTCAGACTCTCAAAGTGAGATTACAGGCATGAACGGCTGCATCTGGCCAATCTTTTTTTAATTTTGAAAAGATGATTTTATGAACAAAAAGATACCGTGTTTGGACAGCCAGACCCCCACCTGTATGCCAAAGCCTGTGCAAGGAGAAGCTGCATGTTATTCCTCATAAGAAACTACTGTTTTGTTTATAAAGCAGTTTGCACACCATACATTAAGATCACCCGGGGAGTCAGGGAACCAACAATTAAACCCCCAGATTGTGGTACTCAAGCATAAAAGAACATCAGAATCCCCTGCAACGGTGTTAAACAGATTGATGCTTCCCATCCCAGACTTTCTGTTCAGCAGTATAAAGTGTAGCCCAAGTATTTGTTATGTCTAAGAAGTCCCCTGGTGATATATTGCTAGCCAAGGGACTCTGAGACCCACCACATTAGTGCATGTTGGGGTGGGGACAAGGATATGTCACTCAGCCCTCAGGGTCCACACCACAGCCAATGCTAAATATTGTTAGTATTATTTATTTATTTATTTATTTATTTTGGAGACATAGTCTTGCTCTGTCGCCCAGCCTGGAGTGCAGTGGCACAATCTTGGCTCACTGCAACCTCCGCATCCTGGGTTCAAGTGATTCTCCTGCCTCAGCCTCCTGAGTAGAGTAGCTGGGACTACAGACACACACCGCCATATCCGGCTAATTTTTCGTATTTTAGTAGAGACGGGGTTTCACCGTGTTGCCTAGACTAGTCTCCAACTCCTGAGCTCAGGCAATCCGCCTGCCTCGGCCTCCCAAAGTGCTAGGATTACCACTCCGACAATGCCAGGTATTTCTAACCATGATTCTCAACCTTGGCCGGTTGTACATGGAATTATCTGCGGAGTTTTAAAAACATACCAGTACCTATGCCCCATCCCTAGACATAACTGATTTAATTGGTCTGAAGTGGAACTTGGACACAGATTGGCTCAAAAAGCTCCCCAGGTGATCTTAATGTATGGTCTGAGAACTATTGCTCTGTAAACAAAAGGTTAGTGAGTTTCTTACGAGGAATAACATGCAGCTTCTCCTTACACAGGGCTAGGTATACAGTATCCTAGGCTCTGTCAACATTAGCTGGACCGGGATCTAGATCTTGCAGGTTGAGATCTCCTAGACCTTGTTTTCTGAGAGCTGTGGAGAAGGGTGAATCGCTTTTCTGTCTTGGCATTTCCCGACGGGACCCAAGCAGTAGAGCTTTCCTTATCAGCATTTTCAAAGCACTTTATTGAGTTCCTGCGCCATCTTGGCACGGCGCTGGCCTCACTGGGGGAATGGGACACCATCTTGCCGTCCATGCCCCAGCCCCTCTCCCACAGCGGAATCGCTGAGGAGGGAAAGACGAATCCCTGAGCAATCAGGAAGCGGTGTGCTCCTGGATCCAAGACAGGTAGTTGGCCACGTCGGTGTAGACACCTGGCTTGTTGCGGTCACCACAGCCCGATCCCCAGCTGACGACACCTCGCAGGGTGAGCTGGCGCCCTGCGGTCTGGTCCTCACACACCAGCGGGCCTCCGGAATCACCCTAGGCCGGAAACTCGCAGCTCAGCGCCGTCGGCCTGGGATTTGTGCCCGATGGCCTCAGGGAAGGGCGCTAACCCGGCTAAGGACTCACCTGGCACGCATCGGTGCCGCCCTCGAGGAACCCTGCGCAGAGCATGCCGGGGAGGATGGCGGCTCCGTGCACGTCCGGGGCTGAGCAGCGCTCCAGGGGCAGGAAGGGCACCTGTGCCTCCTGCAGGAAGCTGGAATATTCCTCCGCCCCTGCGAAAGCAGAGCGCCTTCCTCGCACCCCACCTGACAGCACGCGCCGCCCGGACGGTGGACGATGGACGGCAGGCTCTTCTAAACCCACTCTTGCTCTTCCCCTCCCCAAGGGGGAGCAGGTGCCATGAATTCAATTTCATAGACAAGGAAACTGAGGTCCGGAGAAGAGCCAGGATTTGAAAGTTCGGGAGCAGAAGCAGAAACTCCACCCCCACCTCCTAGCCAGAGCCACCGAACCTGGCTACCAAACTAAGCCGGAGCGCGGGGCCAGCGTCCTCGTTGGCCTTTGCAGCCCGGCGCCCAGAGAGAACCAAGAGCAAGTTCGATTCTACCTGCACCCCCAGGAGATCTGGGGATCCCAGCAGTGAATCCCAGGCCCTGGGAGGCCCTGCACAGTCTCACAGGTCAGCGCCACCTCTCCTGCAGGCCCCGGGACGATCCCAAAGTCACAGTCGCGGGCTATCACAAATCTCCTCCCCTGGCAGTCGTGCCTACCCTCGGACTGGTGGCCCCAACCGGCCACCTCACAGAGCGCGGGCTCGGGCTCGGAGGGTCGCGTGGCGCTGCTTGGCAGGCACACCGGCTGAACGTAAGGCGACAGGAGCGCGCAGCTGCCGTCCGCATCCTCCTGCAGGCGCAGCAGAGCTGACCCGGGCGTAGAGGAGTGTGAGGCGCGGATGCCGCGGCCCCGCCGTCCCTCCCTGTCCACGCACGGCGCCCCCACGCACCCAGGTCGTGCTGGTAGCTGACGGGCGAGAAGGCCTCGTGCAGGCGGTAGGAGCGCACGGCCAGCGTCTGGCACTGCTCACAGCTGTGGTTATGGCGGTCCTGGCCGAGCACCACCGTCAGCTCCTCGGGTGCGGGCCTGCGGGCGGATAGGGGCGAGGCAGCGCGCTCGGAACTGACCGCGAGCGTTCTGGGGGAGCCCCCTGCTCCCGAACCCCATCCTGTGTTCCCGGCTTCCTCCCGGGGAGCTCCGGAGGGGCGTGGAAAGAAGGGTGGGGCGGGAAAAGGCAGGGCGCGGGTTGGGGTGCGGCGCGGAAGCCGCGCGGGGAGACGGAGGAGCCGCGGCCTTCCGGGCGGCGCCGGGCGGGCGGGTACTCGCCGGTTCTGCAGGCAGTGAGCGGCGGTCAGCACCCAGCAGGGGGCGATGAGGCTGCCGGCGCAGAAACTGTGGCCCCAGTACAGGGCTGCGATGTAGGGGTGCGCCCCGGGCAGCGCCACCAGCCCGCCGACGATGCGGCTCAACGGGGACAGACGCTTGCGGAGCCGCTGCCCGCAGCTCGGGGAGACGTTCCTGGTCAGGGGAGGCGGCTGCTTCCGCCCGGTCGGCGAGGCTGCGGACGAGCCGGGGCTGAGGACCGGGAGCCCGCGGCCGGTCGGCCGGAATCCAGCTCGCCCTGCGCCCCCTCGGGCTGCTGCTTTCCCCCACTTCCTAACCTCCTGGGGTCCGGGACGTGGGCTGAGGTTCCGGCGATGTCGGCTGCGCGGGCATGGGCAGGTCGTCAAGCCTAGGGGGCATCCGGGTCGGAGGCGCCTGGCACTGTGCCAGGTCGCAGTACTCCCAGCTCAGCCGGTCACCGCTCAGCACGAAGCACCACGGGCGGACGTCGTTGTCCGGGTTCCTGTAGCCACACGAGGGGGCGCAGTTAGAGCGCCGGGACCCCGGGGCCCTGGGGCGGAGGGGTCGTCCAGCCCCACGCGGCGCACCGGCAGAAGGCATGGCCGCTCAGTCCCCAGTTCCGCGCTTGCTCGGCAGTCACGTTCGGGTAGGTGACCTCCGAGGCCCACGGCTGACAGGGCATACCCGAGAGAGTGGTCGTGGCCCGGCCGCGGTAGCTGAGCCCGCGGCCATCATAGCAGCTCGCCTGGGTATCTGAGGGGAGAGAGGGGGCTCCCTGCAGACAGGGCTGGGCTCTCCCACTGCCCTCTCATCTGCTTTCCCCACTCTCCCTTCTCGTTCCTGGCAAGCCCTTCCCATCTCGGGGGCTGGCCTTCTGCTTCCCCCAGACCCTCACTCACCCACGTCGCAGAAGGGTCCGGTGTAGCCCACCAGGCAGTGGCACAGACTGCGGCCCTCCGCCTCTAGGCAGCGACCCCCATGGAGGCACGGGTTGTCGCGGCAGGCTGGGGGAGGGAACACAGTGAGCCACCCCTGGGCCTACAGACCCTCCAGAGAGCTCTCCTTCCTGGCACACCACCCAGCCTCCTGCCAGCCTCTCTTCCTGATCCTCCTCCCTGGCCCGTTCCCAACCATCTGCTCACCCTGGCTGGCCAGCAGCTGGCAGTGGGCATCAGGACCCTTGCACCGGCATCTGGCCACACCTGCTTGCTCAGATCTATACCATATTTCATTCTGGTCGAAAAACCGGAGAAGCTGAGGCTCAAAGCACTTCTCTGGGGACAAAGAGGGACAGTGGTCTCAGGAGAGTCTACGACTGTGCCAAGTCTCTGGGGTATCCGGTGACCTCTTCTGTAGACCCGGGGTTGCCCCTGTCCCTCGGCATCTCCTCACCTCTCTGGCAGTGGTTTCCAGTGAGGTGTTGTGGACAGAGGCAGTGGGGACCCTTCGGTGAGTTCACACAGGTCCCTTGTTTCTGGCAGGGGCTGTGTTTGCTGCAGTGGTCTGAGAGATGGACATGGTGGGAGGAAGAGCAGGGAGCTGAGTCAGACAGATGGGTGCCAAGGCCCTACTTGAACCTACCTGCCTTGTGACCTTGCTACTCCAAGTTTCCAGGGCTTAGTTTACCCACCTGCAAAATGGGACCACTCCTTCCCAGAACTCTCCCTCTGGATTTCCAAAGGGCATTGTGGAGGGAGAGAAGGGGCTGGGCCCAGAATCCCAGGTGTGTGGGATCTGGTGGTACCAAGGAGAGTATCGAAGCGGGAGGAGAGAGCCCTGGGCCACCCTAGAGGCTGTGTGTAGCACCTTTCACTTTCTTGGGCTCCAGACAGTATTCCCATAGCTGGTCCTGATCGAAGTTGGGGGTGGTAGCACACCTGTAGAAAGAGACAAGGATTCCCTGGCCCGCCCTCCCCTATCACAGCCCCCTCCCTCCAAGCAGAGTTCCTTGTACAGAAGGACAGGCAGAGTCCATGTCTCCCAGGCCCCTGCTCCTGCTGCTCTGTGTAGTCTTACCAGGGCCGAGGGCCTGGCCGGCCCTTGTGGATGCATTTGTGGTACAGCTGCCGGTGGTACTGGAAGGGGAAGTGGCAGGGCTCCCCGGTGACAGTGAGAACTGCAGGGACAATACACTCCCTGAGGACTTCCCCTGTGCTCAACTGCCCAGGCACTGCCCCTCAGGGTCTGGTTGGGAAAAGGACAGACCCACAAAGAGATCGCTGTGCACTGAAAACACTTTCCGCTTCTAAAAGTTGGGTTCAGAAGTCAGATAGCTGGAGTAGACTCCTGACTCCACCACCTGCTATCTGTGTGACCTTGAGTAAGTCTGGAGTCTCAAGGCCTGGAAGAGCACTTGCCACAAAGTGGGCACTTAATAATACTTGTTGATCCTGAGAAATGGTCTAGGTGGACTTAAATAAATAAATAATACTTGTCGAATGTTGAAGTCACTGTTAACCACTCTGAGCCTCGGGTTCCTCATCTGTAAAATGGCAATAATAATAGTACAGTTGATCCTCATTATTCTCTGGTTCTATATTTGAGAATGTACCTACTTGCTAAATGTTATTTGTAACTCCCAAGTCAATACTCAAATGCTTTCATGGCCATTTGTGGACATGCACAGAGTAGTGAAAAATTTGCACATTGTGGTACCAGTTAAGGTTCAACAAGATGACACGCTGCTGCTTCTTGTTTCAGTGCTCGTGTGGAACAAGTGTCCTTTTCAGTCTCCTTAGTGCAATGTTTTTCACACTTTGTGCTTTTGTTGGTGATTTTGCTTTTGGAAATGGCCCCTGAGCCTACTGCTGAAGAGCTGTCTAGTTCCTAAGCACAAGAAGGCTATGTTAGAGAGGAAACGTGTGTTAGATACACTTCATTCAGGTGTGAGCTATAGTGCCATGAGCTTAGCATTAATGAATCAGCAGCACATATGTTAAGTTAAACGTCTTTAGACAGAATCACACATAAAACAAGATTATATATTGTTGGTTAATGAAAATGTTGTGAGCAGGGGCTCACAGGAACGTAATACTGTTTGCTAGTTCAGTGTTCACTGTGATTTTATGAACACAACCACCGCAAATAATGAGAATTGCCTGGGTCTTCTTTAGAGGAATTATTGTGAGGCTTATAAGGCGATGCTGTGGAACACTGAGCGGTGTCTGGCACATAGTACCTGCTCAATACGCATTTGCCGCTATTTTGTCAAAGGCAGAGTGCACTTGCCAAGAACCAGGACAGTCAATGGAAATAGAGGGATCTGAGCTAGACCTTTAAGATGCAAATGGGGACCTGGCAGAGTGACTCCATGCCTGTATTCCCAGCACTTTGGGAAGCTGAGGTGGGCGGATCACCTGAGGGCAGGAATTCGAGACCAGCCTGACCAACATGAAGACACATCCCATCTCTACTAAAAATACAAAAATTAGCCAGGTATGATGGTGCTTGCCTATAATTTCAGCTACTCAGGAGGCTGAGGCAGAGAATCACTTGAACCTAGTAGGTGGAGGTTGCAGTGAGCCAAGATGGCGCCATTGTACTCCAGCCTAGGGGACAGAGCAAGACTCCGTCTAAAAAAAAAAAAAAAAAAAAGATGCAAATAGGATGGACAGATGGAGAGGAGGGGGACCCTAAGCAGGGAATTAGGCAAGGTTAGAGCACCAAGTGTAGGTAAGGCAAGAGGGAGGAGAAACTTTTGGGTGTGTGGTGAAGAGAAGAGACTGAAGGAGTTCAAGGTTGGAATGCACAGGGCCTCAATGCTATGCTCAGGGACTCAACCCCACCAGGTCAGACCCACCAGCATAGGGTCCATCTGGTTCACAGGCCCTGCTATGTTGCATACACAGGTACATTTTTTTTTTTTTTAATTTGTATTTTTTGAGACAGAGTCTTGCTCTGTTGCCCAAGCTGGAGTGCAATGGTGTGACCTTGGCTCACTGTAACCTCCACCTTTCAGGTTCAAGCAATTCTCCTGCCTCAGCCTCTTGAGTAGCTGGCACTATAGGAGCATGCCACTATGCCCAGCTAATTTTCGTTCTTTTAGTATAGACGGGGTTTTACCATGTTGGCAGGCTGGTCTCAAACTCCTGACCTTGTGATCCACCTGCCTGGGCCTCCTGAAGTGCTGGGATTACAGGCGTGAGCCTCCACACCACGCCTCTAGGTACTTAGTGTCTGGAAGAATGAAGGCAATGGGGAGCTATGGCAGGGCCTGAGGAAGGGGGAAATGACAGGTACCCCTCATCTAAAAGGTAGTTTAATAATAAAAGCTAATATTTGTAAAGCATTTCCATGCACCAGGCAATGGGCTGAGTGCCTCGCATGGGTTTTCCTTCCCAACAAGCCTAAGAGGTTTACTATTATCAACCTGGTTTCACAGAAGGGGGAGTAGAAGCTTCGAAAACTCAAATCACTCGCCCAGAGACAACCAGCTCATAAGTAATAAAGCTGGAATTCAGAGGCATTCAAATGCCAGAGACCAGCTCTTGACCATTCCTTGCCCATTGAGGGCCCTGGCCTCTGTCTGGCATGTTTCTCTCTGCCCACGAGACGTGCTGGGGAAAGGAAAAGAAGAGGAGAAGCTGATGAAACTGAGGGAGGCTGGCAGGAGCCCAGGTGTGATGGTGCCAGCAGCACATACCTCAAGCACCTGCTCCGAGCCAGGCTTGTGGGCACTCAGACACAGCCCATGCCCTGCCCTCAAGGATCACACAGCTCAAAATCACTCTGAGACCCTGGTGCCTATGGGCATAAGACCTAGAAGCTGGTAGGCACTAGACTAGACTGCTCTAAGACTGCACACGCCCCACCATACACATCCCCACCCAAGGGTATCTCTGGAGGGGGAGCCAGGCCACTTACCCACTGTGTGCTCTGTGTCTTTGTTCTTATGCTCCTTGGGGCCTTTCCAAGGTGGAATCTACAAGGCAGAGAAGAAGGCAGGGAACTGCCTAGAAGTCATAGCCTGTTACCGATCTGTTGCTAGTCCGCAGCTTCCTCTCACAGCCTAGAAATGCAGAGATTTCTTCCCAAACCTTTTCTACCTCCTCCCATTGTCTTCTTAAGGCCCATCTCCCCGAGAAATGCGGGCTGTGCCCTTCCTTGTATCCACCCATTCTGGTTGTCTGTCTCCTTTGCCTGGGCCTTCAGGGCTGGCCTCACCTTTCCACATAGGCCTAGTCACCTGAAACTTTAGGTCATGAGCAGAGGCCATGGCTGTGATAGTGACCCCCTGCCCCAGGACCATCATGGCATGTGATAGCGACCCCCCGCCCCAGGCACAATCCTGGTTCCCACAGCACTCACCGAAAGTGTTGACTCCAGGCTCACCAGCAGGAACCCTAGGAGCAGCAGAGCCCTCATGGCGTCTGTCTGTTGGTCCAACTGCCTGCCCAGGAGTCCAGATCAATAGGGCTGGCCAAAGGTCTTGGAAGTAGAGATTGGTCAAGCTGCCCTCCTGAGCCTGGTGTGGCACAGGCTGTTTGTGGATAGCCAAGTGGAGCGGCTTCCTTGGTCACCCGTGGAGGGTCGGGAAGTTGGGAGTTGGTAGGTAGGGGTAGAATGATGCAGAGCTGGACTCCCCCTCTCTTTTCTAGATAGTGGGACTAGAAGCAGGAGAAGGGACACTCTTGTGCTCTGGGTCCTGTGGAGATGAGGGGTTAAGGAGATCAAAGAGACACTCTCTTTCTTGGGGATCTTGGAGTCCACTGGGAAATGTGTTAGTTTTCTTTCTTTTTTTTAATTGCATTTTAGGTTTTGGGGTACATGTGAAGAACATGCAAGATTGTTGCATAGGTACACACATGGCAGTGTGATTTGCTGCCTTCCTCCACTTCACTTACATCTGACATTTCTCCCCATGCTATCTCTCCCCACCTCCCCACCCCACCGTCTTGACCCAGCAATCCCATTACTGGGTATATATCCAAAGGATTATAAATCATTCTACTATAAGGACACATGCACATGAATGTTCATAGTAGCACTGTTTACAATAGCAAAGACCTGGAACCAACCCAAATGCCCATTGATGATAGACTGGACAAGGAAAATGTGGTACATATACACTGTGGAATATTATGCAGCCATCAAAAATGATGAGTTCGTATCCTTTGTAGGGACATGGATGAACCTGGAAACCATCATTCTCAGCAAACTGACACAAGAGCAGAAAATGTCTTAGTTTTCTATGGTCATGTAACAGATTACCATAAACTTAGTAGCAGTTTACAACAGTACCCACTTTTTATGTATTTGTGTATTTATTTTGAGATGGAGTTTCACTCTTGTCATCCAACTGGAGTGCAATGGCGTGATCTTGGCTCACTGCAACTTCTGCCTCCCAGGTTCAAGCGATTCTCCTGCCTCAGCCTCCCAAGTAGCTGGGATTGCAGGCAACCACCACCACACCCAGCTAATTTATGTATTTTTAGTAGAGACAGGGTTTCACCATATTGGCAATGATGAGCTCAAACTCCTGTCCTCAGGTGATCCACTCGCCTTGGCTCCTCAAAGTGCTGGGATTACAGGTGTGAACCACTGTGCCTGGCCAATACCCACTTATTAGTTCACAACTCTGTAGTTAAAAAATCCCATTCTGCATGACTGGGTTTTCTGCTCTGGATATCACAAAGCTGAGATCCAGGCTGAGTTCTTTGGAGGTTCTGGGGGAAGATTCACTTTCCAGCTCATTCAGGTTGTCTGCATAATTCCGTTCCTTATGATTGTAGGACTGGGGTCCCTGCTTCCTTGTAGGCTGTCAGCCAAGGGCTATCCTCAGTTCCCAGAGGCCACCAGTATTTCTGGTCATGTCTCCTTTTTTTTTTTTTTTTTTTGAGATGCAATCTTGCTCTGTGGTCCAGGCTAGAGTGCAGTGGCACAATCTCGGCTAACTGCAACCTCCACCTTCCAGGTTCAAGTGATTCTCCTGTCTCAGTCTCTTGAGTAGCTGGAACTACAGGCGTGTGCCACCATGCCTGGCTAATTTTTTGTATTTTTACTAGAGAGGCGGTTTCACCATGTTAGCCAGGATGGTCTTGATCTCCTGACCTCATGATGTGCTTACTGTGGCCTCCCAAAGTGCTGGGATTACAGGTGTGAGCCACTGTGCCAACCATGTGTCTCATTTTAAGAACTCACCTAGCCGGGCGTGGTGGCTCAAGCCTGTAGTCCCAGCACTTTGGGAGGCCGAGGCGGGTGGATTACAAGGTCAAGAGATCGAGACCATCCTGGTCAACATGGTGAAACTCCATCTCTACTAAAAAAAAAAAAATACAAAAAATTAGCTGGGCATAGTGGCATGTGCCTGTAATCCCAGGTAGTCAGCAGGCTGAGGCAGGAGAATTGCCTGAACCCAGGAGGCGGAGGTTGCGGTGAGCCGAGATCGCGCCATTGCACTGCAGCCTGGATAACAAGAGCGAAACTCCGTCTCAAAAAAAAAAAAAAAAAAAAAAAAAGAACTCACCTAATTAGGTAAGGCCCACAAAAGACATTCACCTTAATTTAAGATCAAACAATCTGTGACTTTAATTACATGTGCAAAATTCTTTCACAGAAGCATCTACATTCGTGTTTGATAGAATAACTGGGAGGTGTGCAGACACCAGGGGTAGATATCTTGGGGCCATCTTAGCATTCTACCAACCACAGGAAGTGAGGCAAGAAAGCAGTAGATTTCATGAGAAAAGTGCTAAACCAAGGGGCACTAAGATGTGCAGCTGGAACACAAGAGAAGAAGATAGAGTACACATGTTCTGTTTTTCCTGCCCAGCATCCGTCCTGATTCAGTAATGACACTGATTTTTCCTTTAGCAACGACTCCTCTCTCACTTCTTCCATGGGCTCCAGTGCTGCCAACTCTACCCTCAGAAGCAGGGCGAGGGGTGTGGCCTAGCTGTGGTCAATCAGGGCATGGCATGGGCCTAGGCCTGGCCAACCAGAACATGACACCTTTAATCCACAGTGATTGGTTCAGAGAGAAGTATATACATAACTTAGGCCAATCAAAAGTTTAGCTTGGGACTTTCGCCAGAACTTTCGGGAAAGCAGTACTTTCTTTCCACTGGGATTAACTAAGCACAGAGCATGTGAGTCTGAACACGTTGATGATCATCTTTGTCACTGTTTGGGGAGGGCCTGTCTGAGAATGAAGCCTACACAGAGGTAAAGCAGAGCAAGCAGGGCAGGAAGGACGGAGATGCTGTGATAGACAGCCTCCAAGACAGTCCCCATTGACCCTTACCACCTGGGATTCATGCCCTTGTATAGTGTCTTCCCACATTGAGTTAGGGGTGTTCTGTGTGTCCATCAGAATATGACAGAAGTGGCTGGGTGTGGTGGCTCACACCTATAATCCCAGCACTTTGGGAGGCTAAAGCAGGTGGATCACTTGAGGTCAGGAGTTCAAGACCAGCCTGACCAACATGTTGGCCAAACTGCATCTCTATGAAAAATCCAAAAATTAGGGGGCTTGGTGGCAGGCACCTGTAATCCCAGCTATTCAGGAGGCTGAGGCAGGAGAACTGCTTGAATCCAGGAGGCGGAGGTTGCAGTGAGCAGAGACTGTGGCATTGCACTCCAGCCTGGGTAACAGAATGAGACTGTCTCAAAACAACAACAACAACAAAAAAAAAAAAAGACAAAAAACAATAAAAAACCAAAGAATATGGCAGACGTGAGGGTGTTGGACTTCCAAGCTCAGTTCATAAAAGACATTGCAGTTTCTGCCTCAGTCTCTTGGATTGCTCATTCTGGAGGAAGCCAGCCACTAGGCTGGGTGGACATACATGCAGCCCTGCAGAGACGCCCATGTTGGGAGAAAGTAAAGCACCCTGCTGACAGCCAGTGCCAATCTGACAGTCACATGAAAGAGCTGCCTCGGAAGTGGATTCTGCAGCCCTGACTGACATTTGGCTTGCAATCTTGTGAGAGACCTCAAGGCAAAACTGTCCAGCTCAGCTGCTCCTGAATTCCTGACCATCAGAAACTGTGATAAATCATCATTAATTGTTGTTGCTTTAAGCCACAAGTTAGGGTGATTTGTTACACAACATTTGATAACTAATACTGATGAATTGATTTCTCATGACTTTGAAAGCCTAGGTCCTAAAACTAGAAGTATCCTTAAGACTTGGCCAGCTACGGTCAGACACAGTGGCTCATGCCTATAATCCCAACACATTGGGAGGCTGGGGTGGAAGGATCGCTTAAATCCAGGAGTTCAAGACCGATATAGGAAACATAGTGAGATCTTACCTCTCCAAAATAATTTAACATTAGCTAGGCGTGGTGGCACGTGCCTATAGTTCCAGCTACTTGTGAGGCTGAGGTGGGAGGATTGCTTGAGCTCACAGGTCCAGACTGCTGTGAGCCGTGATTGTGCCACTGCACTCTGGACTGGGAGACGGAGCGAGACTGTATCTCAAAAAAAAAAAAAAAAAAAGACTTCTCACAGTTATATGAGTCAATAAAACCAATTTGAGTGGACTTCTGTCACTTTCAGTTAGAGTCCTAAGTTATACAAAGTAATCTATGGGAAATGAAGACAGAATGAAGCAATTTGTGAATTCTGCTGGAAGAGACGCAGGCTGTGGAAGACAGAAACACAGAAAAAGGAGAGCAGGAGAGGAGGGGCATCTTTTCAACCACAGGTTTCAAAGGTAACTGGTTTCAAAGTCATTGATATGACGTCTGTTAACTTCATGATGAAAGTGAAACTATTAGATATATTGACGGGTTATTAAAATGAAAGCACCTTTGACACATTTTTTGTTTGTTTGTTTTAAAGAGACAGGGTCTCACTAAGTTACCCAGGATGGCCTGGAACGCCTAGGCGCAAGTGATCTTCTCGCCTCAGTCATTTGAGTAGCTGGGATTACAGGTGCACACCACCATGCCTGGCTCTGTCAGTTCTTGTTGCAGCTGAGTGTAGACACTGGCCCTAAGGCCACTCCCACATCAGCTCCATCCTCTTGGGGAGAAGGTAGCTATTCCTCTGAATGGAAGGGGCCTTTTGAACAGGTCTCTGCCACAAGCAGGGGTTTGCAGGCAGAGTGAGTAATACAACTGCACAGAAGCTTGAATGCAGCGTGCCAAATGAGGAATGTGGTGAGCATAGGGTGCCTTGCAGGGAGTGTGAGATGAGGTGTGAGGTCCATTGGGATCCAAGGTGGACATTCATGGGCATTTGGATGTTCAACAGCCATTCTCCCTTCCTCTTCCTCTCCTCCCCCAGTTCCATTTTGTGATCACTTCTTCCCAGTTGTGTGGTGAAAGCGTACTTTGTTTTTTATTTGAGACAGACTCTCTCCCTGTCACCCAGGTTAGAGTTCAATGGTGTAATCTCTGCTCACTGCAACCTCTGCCTCCTGGGTTCAAGTGATTCTCCTGCCTCAGCCTC